GGATCCATCCTGGCCTCCCTCTCCACCTTCCAGCAGATGTGGATCTCCAAGCAGGAGTATGATGAGTCCGGACCCGGAATTGTTCACAGAAAGTGCTTCTAAATTTCCGACAAATCTGTCACATCACATCTTTGATAAACATCTCATTGGTTTGGAATATTACATTTGTTTGTTGTGTTAAATTAAAATAATTTTCTGTATCAATATTCCAAATGTCGGTATGATTCTGATGATTTACGTTCATTAATATTATGTTGTTCATTGTTTTATACCTGGTTTGGATAACAATAAAAGATTCGAGAAGATTTTGTTTTTATCAATTTCACGTCAATTTTACCTTTTTTCTTTTTATTCCAATACTATGCGTAAAGGGTTCAAGATTTTTTTTACTTGTCAAATATGAGAAAATCATATTTTTTGTGAAGATGAAATAATTCTACTGAGTTTTATATCTCCGGTAATATTGAAAGCACAAAAAACGCAGACCACTTTTTTGAAATGCCAGGGCTAGGAGAATCATGTGATAATTGTTTCAAGAATCATACATGTTAAAGTAGATAGAAGACTAAATGTCACAAATAAATTCAAATATCAAAGACGACTTTCAAGTCGTCTTGGTATTGTCATGTTTCGTGGGACACCCTGTATGTCATACTAATAATTCTGATAGATCAAATAACAACAGCTGGAAATATCAAAGGTTGAAAAGATATAGGGAATAGAAATTTTGTGTTTGTGGCAACGACTCAGTTCCTTTCAACGATTTTCTTTCTTTTGATTTCAATGTACAGACAACGAAGATGATATTCTAAAGGGCGAATTAAAAAAAGAAATTTCCTGGTGAACTCCTATAATTATTTTTAGAAAAAGTACGATGCTCTTCCAACAGAGCAGTAAGAATGTCTTCGCTACTTCAAAGCATGGCAATACCAATTAAAAATGGTACCCTTGAAACCTTTATCTGATTTATAATGTGGAAGATATTGTCGTTTTTTATTACTATAAGTTTTCCTGCTGTAGAAATGCGCAAGTCACTTTTGTAGAAAACCACAATTTAAAATAAATTATCAATTTTCAAAAATTATAAACATCGATATCTAATTCACCAGATAGAACTTCAAGGGTACCGTTATGAATCGGGCGTTGACATCTTTTCATGTAGGGTCACTTGAAATTAAGTCTACAGTCCCATCAAAGTACTTATATCGAGCTAGAAACAATAAGATATTTAAGAAAGAATTTCAAGAGGAAATTTCGTATAAAATGTTTATTGATCATCTTCATTTTTAACATTTTAACTTGTACGTTTTGAAGTGTAATGAATTAATTTAGTTAGATTAGCATATTCTTGAAGTTGTCTTGAATCCAACCTTGATAAATTCGAATACAATTAAAGTGGAAACTTGGAACAATGTGAAGTACTTTGTGCAGCTTATTCTTTTTCCAATTGAGACAAATTGTTTCGTAAGTTTTCATTCTTCAAGTGTTTGAAGGAAATTAAATCAATTTATGTTTCAAAATGAAAAAATCGTCATGAAATTTTTTTTTCTCAACAAACTTGCAGTGTGTTCCGATAAACCTGACAAATTAAAGACAAAGCAGTAGTGTGATATTAAATATGCCTTGTTAGTTAAAAACAGAAAAATTATCTTTTATTATTATAGATACGGTTTTAAATACGGTTTGTCTATCTGAACTATTTCATTTATATTTAACACCAAAAAAGTTCTGTAAAAGACTCCGGTATAACAACGACGACATTTTATCAATGCTACTGCAGAATTACCCACAAAGGATGAGACTGTAAAGATGGCTTGAAACTCTTAATATGACGAATTACGATCTTAAGGTTTTTTTAATGGTTTATTCAATGATTTGACAAAGAAAGAAACAAGGTAACGGTTTCAGAAAAAGTATATTTAAAATAAATATAATAGTATACATTCCGTACAGTCGTCTCTGAAGTCTTGTCCTTTGTGGGTGAATCTGTAGGATATATATTGTTAGATTCTATACTATCCGACCCTATTCCGTAGATCCATAGTATATTTTAACAATTACATATGTTAACACACAAATTCTTAATCTCTCCGACTTTGATTCAACATCTAGATAATTCCGAAATATATTTTCTATGATTTATACAAAGCATGATCTAACATGATATTTTTCTTCATTGTGAACTGGAATAATTGAGAAGGTTTAAACAACATACAGTTAGATTAACCTCATACTATATTATCAATGTTGCACTTACACTCGTGCACTACAGTAAACTGTACACTATACGCGTACTGTACACCGTACGCTGTACAGCGTTAATGAACAGCAAAACTTTACATTTTGTTCAACAACAAAATCACAAAAAATACGATCAGAAATTTTCACAAATTTGACCTGGTTATTGTACAGTTAATCTAAAATATAAAATTAAAATTCAGCGTTTTTCATAAGATTTGTTTTTGAATTGCACAGTTTTATATGGCTGACATCTACACGGCGTAATTATTGAGCAATTTAACAATCCGCCCTCCCCCCGCTGAAATAATTAGAATTTGATTTCTTATAAAGAATAAAAATGGCGGTTTTTAGGTGTTTTCAAACCTTAGGATACTAGAACTCTAACCCTAGGATACTAGGACTTTAACCTAGGATACTAGGACTCTAACCTAGGATACTAGGACTCTAACCTAAGATACTAGGATTCAAACCCTAGGATACTTAGGACTCTAACATATTATAATAGGACTCTAACCTAGGATACTAGGACTCAAACCCTGAGATACTAAGACTTGACCCTCGGATACAATATGACTCGAACACTAGGAATACTAGACTCGAATCTAGAATACTAGGACTCGAACCCTAGGATACTAGGAGTCGAACTCTAGGATACTAGGACTCGAACCCTAGGATTCTAGGACTCGACCCTAGGATACTAGGACTCGTCTCTAGGATACTAGGACTCGAACATTAGGATACTAACTAGGACTCGAACCCTAGGATATTAGGACTAGACCCTAGGACACTAGGACTCGAACCCTAGGTCTAGATCCTGTCCTGGATTTCTCTGCATGATCTTGTATAAGGGTACTCCTGTATACCCAGAACAGTTCCACCAACTTCGGAAAGTTAAATCCTAAAATATATAAAAATTCAAGAAAAAATAGTAAAGAAATATATTTATGAAAAATAAATATAGCAGTTCTATGTTATTTAAGAATTTTTAATAAAATAGATGTAAGGAATAATAATAATGTTTCACAACGTTGATGTATGTCGTCTTAGCTGATCATTATTTCAGTTCATTCAAGGGTGAGTTGTAATCATAGAGAATAGAAAATATATTAGAGGGGAATTTAAAGCATCTCTCGATATGAAATATTTCAGTCTCTTTCAGCCTGAAAGGGAGTTCAAAGTGTACAAACCATGTAACTGTTCACAAATGATATGCAGTAGAGTACATTAATAAAGTATGTTCCCTAGACTATTCATTTCAATTTCGAATTTTTTAAAGCTGTTGAATAAACTTTATAATGAATTAGGTGAATAAAAAACATCATTTGATTTATAGTTATAACGGAAAATCGTCGTTTGTAAAAAGAAAGGCATAGAGTCTATGTGATATGATCATTAGTCAATTATGAAACCAGCCTATTTCATAATTTGGTTTTCTTTTAACATTAATTTTAGATTTTCTATAAAATGATATTCCAGGGCCCAAAAGGTTATACAGCATAAATATGTGAAGTACACCTGCAGTATGGAAATAGTACAACAAAATGGCCGTTTTTCACTTTTTTCTAGTAAATTTCCCTCTAATATATATATTCTATTCTCTTTGGTTGTAATACAGATTTTAAAACATGTTAACCGTTTGGGGTTATAACAGGTTAGGTTGTGAAGTGGGGAAAGCTGAGAAAAAGTCCGAAAACTGAATTTTACAACGATTTTTTTATAATAAGGTTTTACTTAACCTTTACCGCGAGATTGAAACTTTTTAATATAGAAACAATTTTCTTCTTTTGGGTAAATTAAAGAGTTTTTCATGATAACAAGAGAATTGAACGATGAAAAATCGTTCAAACTCCGCTCGACGAAAGCTTGAGAATTATTTTGATGAGAAATGATCAACTAAGCACTAACCTGGAACCACTCTCTAAAGGCCAGCCAACCAAATGTATCTATCACAAGTTTACGCTGTCTGAAATCTGCTGCCTAAATCAAAGATCAATGTTTACAAAATAGTATTTTAGGATATTAAAATGTGATATCATACAGTGAGAACCACAAACTGTGAAATAGGTTGACGACAACTAAGCAATCTAATGTGCATTTTTTGTAGAAAATAGTTTTACCAGTAACTTAAAATCAACTTTTTAATTGAAATGTGAACAGTCTGTACTGCGTACAGTGTATCCTGTTCATTGTACTATTTCAAATCATGTAACTTGAATCTAACAACCGTCTCCCCATATTCCATAGTTTTGTGGGTACCCACAGTACATACATCCTTGCGGACATCGTAGGTTATGTACCTGATGTACGCATGGTAGGTGTCCAGGTATAGAACATATAGGACAAAGTACTCCAGCCTGCTCGACCCAGCAGCTATCCTCCCAATGCGTAGATTCAAGACATCTAAATATACAATCCTAGTGTACTTTTTATTTATAAACATCTTTTTTATAATATTTATATAATATTTATAACTAAAATAATATATACAGAATATTTATAACTGAAAATATATACAACGTTATCGCCTCCTAAGACACCAGCCTCCAGATATGTTTAACTGGGACATATATTTATCTGGGTCATCAGCCTCCGGATATAATCTTATGGGACACCTGCCTCCAGATATATTTACCTGGGACACCAATCTCCAGATATATTTACCTGGGACACCAGCCTGCAGATATGTTTACCTGGGACACCATCCTCCAGGTTGAATATCCTCCTGACACTGCCAGTTCTCATGACCAGCATGATGACATCTCCAGCAATATCTTATCTTCGCGTTCCTCTCCCTTAATATACTAGTTAAACACATTGTGTAAAACTTTCAATATCGACTTTTGTTCTGCTGGCTAGGTGGTCGTTTTAGACAGTACATACTACATACAGTGAAACCCTAAATAACGAATACATCGGAAGAATTTATCAAATGTCGTTTTGACAATTTTTCAATGAGTTTTATACAATATTACGTAAACTTCAGTATTTGCGAAAATAAATAAATTGCCATCAATATGTGGGAACAGTTTTAAAGAGTTCCATGTAATCATTTAATTAAATAAACTAAATATCTACAACATTCCATTATCAGAAAGTGAAGAATACGACATTTGATGAATTCTTTCGATGTATTCTTTATTAAGGGTTTCACTGTAGTGTATTTAGTAGGGTTTATGTACATGCAGTCATAAGCTTGATCCAATAAATCTTGCCGGGCTGGGAACGGAAACGGTAATTTATGTTCAAGCTATGGACGTGGCCTGAATATGGAGTCTGGTTTGCATTGTGTTGGATGTATAAAACATTCATAATTGGAATAACCAAAATGCTTAATTCACTTTGTTGTCTTATTATCTTGATGCTTTCCTCCATAAAGTACTTTTTCGGCAAAGTTATTTTTTTGCGTAAGTCTTTCTTAATGATGCAAACTTTATACCTTGACATACTTCGCTTCCTTCCTGATGGTCGTCTTGATCTCTGAGGTTTGCTCTTTCTCCAAGCCTCTTCCTCCTCCTCCTCACTCCGCTCTGACAAGGTATCAATCTCCATGTTGAGTTCTCCTCTCTTGAATCCAGGTTTAGAAACCAACTTATCCTTGTCAACCATTGCTGCTGCTAAACTAAAAAAAACCAAATAAAATCTACAATTAACTCAAACTTCTCTTTAAAATTTTAGTTAAAGACTGATGCTTACCTTTCAATTCTTTTTTTCCTTGCTTCAGGGTCGTCGTCTTCGCTTTCTGTACAGTCACTGAGCTCACTAATATCCAAACCAAATGGTTTGTACGTCCATCTAGAAACAAAATACCAAAATCCCAAACTCTCCAAACCAAATGGTTTGACTGGCGTTTTAAAATTCGAAGTTTCAATCAAAAATAAATTACATATAGGCTAATAGCATACATCTTTTTCAAGTTTTGCTTTTTGGATATTATTTATTGAAAAGTTTTTTAATCAATTGCTAAAACATAATTTGTTTTCAGAAGTTTTCAGAAGTAACGCAAAAAGCAATGATACCTGGCTAAATTTGAATCGTCGTTATCTGATTTTTCATCAATTACAATATCAAAATCAGACTCATGATCATCTTGGTAAACTGTAACATCACTCTCATATCCAACCTCCTGAACATTCATATTCTCAATCCAAACTAAAGTGTGGTTTTAAACAGGCTGAGGTGGGGGGGGAGCCTTTATAGGGTTAAAGAAAAGTTCAAATGCGGCTCTGAATTGAGGTTTAAATAATAAAATAGATCTCTGGGCGGTATTTGTAAACAAGAATAGATGCATCAGTGTTCCTCAAGTATCCGAGGAGGATAAAAGCATTTAATTTTGATAAGTTTGATAATTCACATAATAGTTTCCTAAGACCAGAATATTTCATTGATTTTTTATGTGATTTTTCATGTCTCATGTTAGTTAAAGCCTAACAATGTTTAGAATAGAGGTTTAAAATATACACAATCTAAAGTCTAGTAAATATCTAACCTAATGTTTAGAATAGAGATTCAAAGAATACACAATTTGAGTTATAGTACAGTGATAACCAGAAAACTCTGAAATGTAAAGACGACTTTCAGACTGAAGATATGACTATAAATGGTCCAATTAGCATGGTACGCAGCAATTGTACAGTTTAAACAGACTCATTTCACTTAATTAGTGGTTTAATAACTGTCTAGTAAAACTATTTGCTATGTAACACCATCAAAGTCGTCTTTCTATTTCAAAGTTTTCTGGTTATCACTGTAAATACCTAACCGAAGATTTACAATAAAAGTTTAAAAAATACACAATCTGAGGTCTAATAAATACCAGAGCTAAGGTTTAGAATAGAGATTTAAAGAATACAATATCTGAGGTCTAATAAATACCAGAGCTAAGGTTTAGAATAGAGATTTAAAGAATACAATATCTGAGGTCTAATAAATACCTAACCTGAGGTTTAATATAGAGGTTTAAAGAATACACAATCCAAAGTCTAGTAAATACCTAACCTAAGGTTTAGGATAAAGGTTTAAAGAATACACAATCTGAGGACTAGTAAATACCTAACCTAAGGTTTAGTATAGAGGTTTCAAGAAGACACAATTTGAGTTCTAGTAAATATCTGCTAAGGTTTAGAATAGAGGTTCAAAGTACACACAATCTGAGGTCTAGTCCATACCTGAGGTTTAGAGTACGTATCAATGAATGTCGGGGTTGAACAGGTTGAACTGTCGTCAACATCTCCAGAAACTTCATGATGTTTCTCTTCCTTATGTTCCCCTCTCTCCTTGGAACCACCTGGAGGCATACATTCTTCTTCTTCCTTCTTTACCTCCAGTTCATCCTTCAACAGTTAAAATATTTAACTCGTCGATTTTGGTGATTTGTAAGATTTAAGCTACAGCTCAAAGTTTAATTTAGGCTTAAACTTAACTTTTAAGTTGTAAGTTTTCTTTCTTTAGTTTTGGACTCTAGAGAAGAAAAAATGTTAATTCTTACCTTGTCTTGGAGATCTTCTCCTGTAGGGGTTCTTGTCAGGCAGTAATCATCCTTAAAAGTAATTTTTTTGGTTAATAAATTTTAAAATAAATTGTTTTCTATGAAGTATACTTTTTAAAGTTTTTAAAGTTATATTTTATTGTTACAATGAATCCCATGTTTGTGGTAGGAAAATTTTACGAAAATATACTGAAAGTTTTTTCTCTGTAGATTTTTGTTTTGAATTTTGTGTTTACCTGATTTTCTGGTCGGAATGAATTCAGGTGTGTCAGGTTCAATGTATCATCTGGAATAGTACTGCACAGAATAGTCATAATACTAAAATTCGTCTTAGATTCCAATAACTTGATAAACTGATATATAGTATATTAATTCTAGATATCTTGTCCTGAAAACGATGCATATATAATGGTTACATTCTTTTTGAATGTAAGATAATGTTTAAATTTAACATAAAATCTTGTTTTTGAAATTAATGAATTTAGTAGAGAAGTAAATATGATTCCTAAATCTTCCAGGAAGGGAATGTCGTCTTGTATCATGCGCAAGTATTGAGGTTTCAATAGTTTTTAACTCGTCAAGCTTCAGTTCAATGTTCTGCAGTCTAAATAAATATTTAGAATTAACTTTTTAAAAAGGTACAATCAGATTCTTTTTTACCTTTTTAAGATGAGACCTAGTCCATCCTTGGCTAGTTCGACCCGGCCATCATGCTCCACCTCTGTGGAACATGCAACCCTATCTTCCTTTCCAATATCAAGCTGCTGATCAGTCTGTTCTCCGCTTGTTTGCGTTATTGCATACTGACGTTCATGGTAGTCCTTTACCTGAACATATCTACATTTATATACAGTATACATGGTAGTCCTTTACCTGAACATATCTACATTTATATACAGTATACAGGATAGTCCTTTATCTGAACATATCTACATTTATATAAGTATAGATGGTAGTCATTTACCTGAACATATCTACATTTATATACAGTGCACATGGTAGTCCTTTACTAGAGCATATCTACATTTATATACACTACACATGGTAGTCCTTTACCTGAACATATCTAAATATATATATACAAAATACAGGGTAATTCTTTACCTGAACATATCTACATTTATATACAGTATACAGGATAGTCCTTTACCTGGACATATCTACATATATATACAAAATACAGGGTAATTCTTTACCTGAACATATCTACATATATATACAGTATACAGGATAGTCCTTTACCTGAACATATCTACATTTATATACACTATACATGGTTGTCCTTTACCTGAACATATCTACATTTATATACACTATACAGGGTAGTCCTTTACTAGAGCATATCTACATTTATATACACTATACAGGGTGGTCCTTTACCTGAAAATATCTACATTTATATACACTATACAGGGTAGTCCTTTACTAGAGCATATCTACATTTATATAAGTATAGATGGTATTCCTTTACCTGAACATATCTACATTTATATACAGTATACATAGTAGTCCTTTACTAGAACATATCTACATTTATATACACTATACAGGGTAGTCCTTTACCTGAACATATCTACATTTATATACAGTATACATAGTAGTCCTTTACCTAAACATATCTACATTTATATACACAATGCATGGCAGTCCTTTACCTGAACATATCTACATTTATATACACTATACAGGGTAGTCCTTTACTAGAGCATATCTACATTTATATACACTATACAGGGTAGTCCTTTACTAGAGCATATCTACATTTATATACAAAATACATGATAGTCCTTTACCTGAACATATCTACATTTATATATCATACAGGATAGTCCTTTACCTGAATATATCTACATTTATATACCATACAGGATAGTCCTTTACCTGAACATATCTACATTTATATATCATACAGGATAGTCCTTTACCTGAACATATCTACATTTATATATCATACAGGATAGTCTTTTACCTGAACATATCTACATTTATGCACTTTAAAAGGTAGTGCTTTACCTGAACATATCTACATTTATATACCATACAGGATAGTCCTTTACCTGAACATATCTACATTTATGCACTTTAAAAGGTAGTGCTTTACCTGAACATATCTACATTTAAATATCTTTACTTTACAAAATGCACTTTTAATGATAAATGATTACTTACGTATATTTAGAAATGTGTATACATTACAGTGAGAGTTATACACTTTGAAATATAAAGACAACTTTTAAAATGAAGTGATGACTTTAATGCAATGAACATGAGACACAGCAAATGTGCTGTAAACAGACCCATTTCCCTTAATAAGTAATTTAATAAGTTAATTTGTAAGCACATCAAATATATTTAATTATCTTCCGATTCCGATCCTGGTTTTCAGTTGTATGTATACATGTACAGTGTACACGGTTGTATGTACTATGTATGCATGTACAGTGTACACGGAGGTGTCCACGGAAGACCAACTTTTGAAAATAGTTGAGCGCGGTAGCTTTTCCCATTACAATATGTACTGTGAGTAATAATCTAACTATGTATCTCAATATCTCTAAACTCTAAAGTTTTCCCATTACAATATGTACTGTGAGTAATAATCTAACTATGTATCTCAATATCTCTAAACTCTAAAGTTTTCCCATTACAATATGTACTGTGAGTAATAATCTAACTATGTATCTCAATATCTCTAAACTCTAAAGTTTTCCCATTACAATATGTACTGTGAGTAATAATCTAACTATGTATCTCAATATCTCTAAACTCTAAAGTTTGAAAAAGACCTATATAGATATTTTCTTCTTGAATTTTTCATGTCACCTATCATTTTCATCGTAAATGTCCAGAAAGTTGAAATCCGTTTTTTTTATTCCAAAAAACCGCAAAAATATGTACGTTTTTAGAAAACGAGCATTTTTGACGGTTTTTTGGACCTAACTCATTCTATATGCACTTTAAAAGGTAGTCCTTTATCTGAACATATCTACATATAAATATCTGCACTATACACAATGCACTTTTAATGATACATGATTACCTACGTATATTTAGAAATGTGTGTACATTACAGTGAGAGTTATACATTTTGAAATAAAAAGACAACTTTTAAAATGAAGTTATGACTTTAATGCAATAAACATGAGACACAGCAAATGTGCTGTAAACATACCAATTTCCCTTAATAAGTAATTTAATAAGTTAATTTGTAAGCACATCAAATACATTTAATTATCTTCCGATTCCGATCCTGGTTTTCAGTTGTATGTATACATGTACAGTGTACACGGAGGTGTCCACGGTTGTATGTACAAAGTATGCATGTACACGGAAGTGTCCACGGTTGTATGTACTATGTATGCATGTACAGTGTACACGGAGGTGTCCAACTTTTAAAAATAGATGCGCGCAGTAGCTTTTCCTATTACAATATGTACTGTGAGTAATAATCTAACTATGTATCTCAATATCTCTAAACTCTAAATATTTAAAAAACACCTACATAGCTACAACATATTTTTTTCTTGAATTTATCATGTAACATATCATTTTCTTCTTAATTGTCCAAAAAGTTGAAATCCGTTCAAACATTTTTTTTTAATTTTAAAATTTTAAAAAACCGCAAAAATGTACTTTTCTAAAAAACGAGCATTTTTGACGGTTTTTTGGACCTAACTCATTCTTTTTTATTAAATTTTTAAAAATTTCAACGGATCGGAGTTCTCTGATTGAAAAAGAAGAAATTGATGTCTAACATCATAATTTCATGATTTTTTTTTTTACTTTCTTCAGCTCTTTGGTGGCGAATATCTCCTATAGGATTTAAGATGTGTTGACCTAAAATTTTCAGAAATTACTCACAGTGCAATGGGAAAAGTTACCGCGCTCATCGCGCGCGCCATTTTTAAAATTAGTAATCATTTGTGAACACATTAATGTACAGTGTACATAGTGGACTTTTGATCTACACAATTTATAATTACCGTGCCGGCCCAGAATAGACTTGGAAGATCATGAAGATCAATGGTTCGGTTTCTTGATCTCTTCTCATCCAACCTTGTGATCCTCTCAACTCCAGATTTCTCCAGGTTGTAGTAGGTTGAGTAGGAATCATTGTCGGAGGAAAACTCTGTCATAAATATTAAGGCTTTATTAGAGTTTTCAGGTTGAGAGGAGAATATGTTCTCCGAGTCTAATTTAACCAGGTTCTCTTTCACAGTGTCAGTTTCATAATCAGTATCATCTAACGTTTGGTTTTCTGACCAGGTTTCAGTCTCCTCAACTCCGTCCAGAAGCAGAGTAGATGATTCCTCTGCTCTGTGTTCTAGTATAGATGTTTGTATCTGGTGTTCTTTGCTAGTAATCTCCTCTCTTTTTATCTGTACTCCTCTACATAAAATTGTTTAAGGAGTTTTATAAAGACTAAGTTGTTTCAGATAAAACTGCTAGAAACATGATAAATACAGATACAAGGTCTGAACTGAATTCATTTTTGTATATTTGTAAAGATGGATAAATATATTTGCATAGAAGATTGCATGGATGATTTGCTAAAATGCATTAAAAAATTTTAAATGGTTATATATTATTGTAGTAGCTGAGTTTCTAGCAATTATATTGTCTGAAATCACATCATAAACACAGTTTTCGATAAGCATAGTAAGGAAATGAAAAGCTATTGCAATTTATTCTTGATGATCAGAAAATATTTTTTAAAAAGGATTCTTGAAAATTAAATATTGTTGAATCAGAATCTGACGCATTTAAAGCTGAATATTTTTAAAGCTCAATGCTAAAAATTAGTGAACAAAATTGAAATCAACCCATACATAAATTAACACCTTGAAGAGGGGGAAATAATTCTAGGGTGGAGGTGGTTTGTTAAAATTGATGGCAAAAAATTGGTGTAAATACCTGGTTTTATTAATGTACTGAAGTTCATAGTCTGACGAGTCGAGTTTCTGTTCCAGGTTGGTTTCTAACCCTTGTTCAAGGTTTGATTTTAGTCCTTGCTCTTTTCTTTGCTCCAGGTTGGTTTCGGACATTTTTTCAAGGTTGGTTTCTGATATTTCTGAGTAAGTTGAAGTTAGATTAACATTTTGTTCCAGTTCTGCTAAGCACTGATTTATTAGAGTCTTATGTCTGGATGATATAAACATGTCTGCCATAAGCGAGGTTGAGGCAGATACAGAGGATATATACTTCAAACCTGGTTCCTCTACGTTAGTTATCCTCGGATTCATCTCGGCCTCTTCCTGTGTATCCATGGGGGTATCAGAGCTAATGATGGGAGCATTGGAAACTATGAGTATATCTTCATCCTGTCCTTGATGTTTTATAAATATCCTGGCCTCTACACTGTACTCCCTTGGGCTGTCCTCAGAGTCGGAGTTAGGTTCTGGGTCAAGCTCAGGATATTTACAGGATCGGCTTTCCTCAAACTTCTTTGAGTCAGATTTTATATTTCCGTCTAGTCTTTCACTTCCTGTAAACTTAGATCAGTTTATAAATAGGTCATTATATATGTATATAGATTAGAGGAGAAATTCAAAGTAAACTTGTTTGAAGCTGTAACCCCAATTTTTCTCTTGTAAACTGATCTTAAAGGGAGTGTTTGCGAAAAATGAAAGGGGGGTATAGGCTTATGTCATAAAATATTTGATGGTGATTGCTGCTAAGCTTACTTTTATCTGTTGGGTCTGTAAGGAGAAAATTGTTAAAAACTACTCAGACCGAAGAACGTAGCCTCCATACAAAGTCAGAAAGTTGCAATATTCAACTTGGATCGTAAAAAATCAATTTAATTCCAAACAAATCATTCAGATATTACAACCTATAATCATTGATTTTTTTCGACGCATTCGTATATAGTTTATATTTCATAATATTTTTTACGTGTTTCATATACTTTATGACGATTATGTCCGCTAGGTGTCTCTGCTCTTGATGCTTCTGGAGTTCCACGTGGAAGAGACTCCAACAAGACCTAGCGACAAAAAACTATATACGAATGCGTCGAAAAAAATCAATGATTTGTTTGGAAATAAATAGATTTTTTACGATCCAAGATGAATATTGCAACTTTCTTTATGGACGCTACGTTAATTCTTTAGTATGAGTCGTTTTTAATAATTGTCTCCTTATAGACGCAAGATATAGAAGTAAGATTAGTACCAATCACCATCGAATATTTTTTGACGTAAGCCTATACCCACTTTAATTTTACGCGAATACTCCCTTTCAAGTGGTCTACACAAAAATGGATAATTTAAACTGACAAATAGTTACAATATCTAAAAGAAATTATGATTTCTCAACATCTTTGTACTCCGTATATACTTGCAAAATAAAATTGATCTAGTTTCCTGAGAATCCAGGTTTTATCCGTTCTACTGTAACCAAATCCTTCCTCATTTCTTCATCTACATTAAATCTTTTTGCCCTCCTAGCTTCAAGAATCTAAAAAAGAGAAAATTATCAAAGATAGAGATTGGACATAGAAACTAAAGTGGGTTGATTAGTTGAGAGATGACTTGTTTTATATAATTCCTTATAGACATTTTTTCTTTCTTTTTTTACTGATTTTTTGATAAAATAAAAAAATTATTTGAGAATGTTTGTATATTTAACATCATTACTTTTAATATCAATTCTAATAATTGTGTTCTTTGAATTATTACTAATATAATATACAACATCTATTTATATACTTTGCTTGTCTATCTGTTTGTCTATCAGGGTGTTTGTGTCCAATAAACGTTAAAACGACTGAACTGATCGGGTCAAAAATGTTTGTGGGACCTGGCGTCGGGAATATCTAGGATGATCGAATTTTCAAAAATTTGCCTCTCACAAAATTCAAATTTTGAAAATTTGCGACATTTTTTTTACAATGTGTGCAAAAATAACATGTTCATAATTGAACGATGGGCGTGAAGCGCCCAAAAAGCCTAGTTACTATTTGTTTATATAATGTTGTGAAATACAATAATTAAAAAAAGGAACCCGATCTAAAGAACCTGATCAAGAATAGCACAGAATTAGGAACCTGGAACCAGATTTACCGAATAAAAGAAATAGTTGAACCATGTAGATTAAGTTGAACCACTTATCTTCCGCTGGACCCAGCGCACAAAAGAACTGGTTGAACGGGGGTACGTGGTTCAACTACTTCTCAATGTTCATTTAATCTGGTCCTAAGTATGTATACTAGGGAACCTGATCAAGTGTTCATGAATTTAAAATTCTTATTTAGAAATGCACCAATAGAAACATCATAATCCTAAATTTTAAATTGTTACTGTTAAAAGGCTTTGGGACATTTCATAGATAACAAAATCATAGATATTTCATAGAAAGGACATTAAATTATACACAAAATTAACCTGTGGAACTGGGCTCAATGCTGGTAGGTCAAAAGGAGTCATCTCACGGTTTAGCTCTCTCAAGGTTTTATGATTAACCTCAGATCTGATACTAGTCAGAGTATCCTTCATGTTAGAGATCACATCATCTAGGTTAGAACCAGAGGAGACAGGTTCGGTTCTTAGAGATCTGAGAGTTTTCTTCATGTTGCTCAGAGCTTGGTCTATATTCTCCATCCTGACATAAAACAATATGTATTAAGAACATTAATCAAAATATTATTTAATGGAATAATTTACCTCACATTCTGTGTAACTTCATTTTTAAAAGATTCAAGCTTGTCTGCCATGTTACTAGAATAGAATCATTTTTATGTATTTAGTAATATCTGGACTTTACCTTAGAAAAATTAGAGAAAACTGAGGAAAAGGAATATATTTTATAAATCCAGGGCATTAACAAGGAATTAATAAAGTTATAATCAGGAAACAAGATCAATAACAAGGAAGCAAAATCAAAAATAAGGGCGGAAACTTAAGGAGGAATATAGTCACTAGAGCAGAAAAAAAAACTAGATCAGAAATAAGGAAACTAGAGCAGTAATAAACAAATTACAGCAGTAATTAGGAAATTAAAGCAACAATTAGGAAACTATAGCAGGAATAAGGAAACTATAGCAAGAATTAGGAAACTATAGCATGAATTAGGAAACTATAGCAAGAGTTAGGAAACTAGAGCAGGAATAAGTAAACTAGAGCAGGAATAAGGAAACTAGAGCAGGAATAAGGAAACTAGAGCATGAATAAGGAAACTAGAGCATAAATTAAGAAACTAGAGCAGGAGTAAGGAAACTAGAGCAGGAATTAGGAAACTAGAGCATGAATTAAGAAACTAGAGCATGAATTATGAAACTAGAGCAGGAATTAGGAAACTAGAGCAGGAATTAAGAAACTAGAGCACGAATTAGGAAACTAGAGCATAAATTAAGAAACTAGAGCAGGAATTAAGAAACTAGAGCAGGAATTAGGAAACTAGAGGAGGAATAAGGAATATGGAAACAAGAGAAGTTGCGAACATGAAAATAAAGAAATGAAAACAGAAAGAAGAAAACTAGAACAGAATCGAGGGATCAGGAATTAGGATTACAAAGCTGATAAAAAGAAACAACTTAAAATTTATGTTTAGGAATTATAGAAAAATGCATCAAATTTAATTTATTCTTCCCTGATTGCATTTTCTAGTTTATCTGAGGAAATATTTCTACAGAGTCCTGATCCAGGTCCTAAACTACTAGAGCTGGTGTTGCAGCTGTATGGAAAGGACGGATCAGGTGGATGTTCCTCCAGGTTTGATGATAATCCTTGTGAACGACTTGACTCATTGTGTTGGGTTGAGTATGAGGTAGATTTATATTCCTGGGACGTATTGCTCAAGGTATCCTGGTCTCTATGTTGGGAGATCAGGTTTACCAGACTACTGGAGAAATTCTCTGCTCCAGATAGCGAAGTTTGTCTGAAATGGCTTGGACGCTGAAGCTTTACAGGAGTCTGGCTCACTGAGCTGTCAATATATGTTTCTTTCAACAAGAAATTCTTCTTCTCTGACTCAACTATCTGGGTTTTAGTATTTTCCTCCGATATTTTAGAACTCTCTTCAAATGTTTCTTTACTCTCCGTAGTAATAAACTGTGTACTGTATGGTTCTGTTGTTTGTATATCATTGTACTGAATGTCATGCTGAGTTATGTGTTCTTCCTTCCTATTGGAGAAAATTTTTTCCGACGAACTCCTTTCATGATCGTTAGTTCTAACTGTAGAAATGGTTGGAGAGGCATCAAATATAGAAGAACTATATGAAAGGTTACTAATAGATTGACTTTTTGACTCCAATGATGTTTGCGTGGATGGGAAGGACCGTTTAGCTCCGAACCTACCCTGAGGAGCTCTTCTACTCTGAACTGGTCCGAAGGGTGTAGCAAAGGGATCATTTGTCGGGGACGGAGATCTGACAAACTGAACCCCTGTAATCTTCACAGGAGTTGTTCCCCGGAGACTTCTCCTCCTCTCAGAGCTAGAAGCGGAGGATATGGATCCGGAGCCGAATCTTTAAACCATGAGAAAAAATATTTGAATTTTGATTTGACTCATTTCTATTTTAAAACAAATTGTAAAAGGAATAAAGTTTTTGGATCAAACTATGAGTTTTTTCATCCCTATATCTCTATATCTTTGCAAGCCGAATTCGTAGAGCTTTTAAATGTTAAACTATGAAATCTGTTAAACTATTAATTCTATTAAACTCTGAATTCTGTTAAACTATGAATTCTGTTGAACTATTAATTCTGTTGAACTATGAATTCTATTAAACTATGAATTCTGTTAAACTATGAATTCTATTAATCTATGGATTCTATTAAACTTTGTATCCTGTTAAACTATGAATTCTGTTAAACTATGAATTCTATTAAACTTTGTATCCTGTTAAACTATAAATTCTGTTAAACTATGAATTCAATTATACTTTGAATTCTGTTAAACTATGAATTCTGTTAAACTATGAATTCTATTAAACTCTAAATTCTGTTAAACTTTTAATTCTGTTAAACTATGAATTCTGTTAAAGAATGAATTCAATTATACTTTGTATCCTGTTAAACTATGAATTCTGTTAAACTATGAAGTTTTTGAAGTTGATTTTTAAACTTAGGATAATTCTGCCAGGCAACCCGGGTCAGAAACTTCACCATTGAGCCCCCCCCCCCGATTTTTTTCTCATTTTTCAATTAAGCGGATGCAATAGCTGAACCAGACTATTAAGATTGATCACGTTATGGGGCGTATAGCCTCTTTCTTCATAAAACTCATCTAGGATAGAATCAACTGTTGTGTTTTAAAGGTTTATTTTAATTATTTTAGGTGGTTTTATAGCAAAGTGGGGTTAAAACTTTTATATTTTTTACCCCTTATAAAGCTAAGTAAAAACTAGAGGGAAGCCCATCTTTTTGGCCGAAACAAAGTACATCTGATGCTGTCTAGTTAAAAACTCGCTAAAAGCATTTTTAAATTTGCAATTTAAAGTAATGTGTTATACTAAAGTTTTAAATTAAAAATCAAACACCCAAGCCTGAAGCAGCCAATGTAAAATAATTTAAAGCCCCCACTCATTGCCGACCTTTTGAAATTTTCAATGAACTATTAAAACAGTAACTTTGGTGAGTTACCGAAACATAAACAAATAAAACTCCTAAAGACCTGAGAACTAAAATAGCTAAAACAAAAAATGATAGGTAAGCTAGCTGTTTTATTATCAATAATTCTGTTAAACTAAGAATTCTGTTAAACTAAGAATTCTGTTAAACTATGAATTCTGTTAAACTAAGAATTCTGATAAACTAAGAATTCTGTTAAACTATGAATTCTGTTTAAATATGAATTTTGTTTGATAAAATAATCTGAGTTTCAAATATCAAAGGTATATAATATAGTGATTAGATGATTTGTATAATAAAGCTCTTCTCTCATTTGTATTTCTATGTATTTATGTTAGCTATAGCTAGCCAAACGGCAGGACCAAATGGGCTGAAATTTTTTTATGGAACCCTTGAGTACCATGCTGGGGGTAACATAGGCTAAACAAAATTGAATTTATTTTTCAAAACTCTAAATAGTTTTTTCCAAAATTAAATTTTTTTCTTTCAAAATCGATTTAAAAAAATTCCAGGAGCAAAGCCGGGCACTTTAACTATGAATAGATAATAATAGATTTGTTTACAAAAAGATTAAATTTAATTGAAAGTTAAAGATTCCTAGAGGTAAGCGTAACCCCGAATATATCTGAGGTATCGCTAAGATTCTCCTGACTACCCAGAGAAAATCCATTAATTTTGATCGGAAACCCACATCTAAGAAAACCTCAATCTTTTATTTACTTTAAAAATACTGTAAATGCGTATTTTATTATTTTTCCCGCATTTACGGTTTTATTAAGATTGATTTATTTCCTTAATCCTGTTTTCAGGTTTATATCCTCCGGGGGTTCAGAACTGCTTCTCTCCAGTAGTGTCATTTAACTTGATATTTCCAGGTTTAAGTTGAAAACTCGAGGAGTAACTGAGCTTCCGGTCAGGTCAGCTTAGTTCTCACTCTTTAGCTCAGCTTCTTTCTTTTAATCTATCTATCTATATATCTATCTATCTATATTTCATGTATACTTCTATCTTTCTATCTATTTAACTTGCTATCTTTCTATCTGTATGTAAATAACGTTTTATATTTCTGTCTTTTTATACTTGATAATACCGATCTGTTCATCTATTTACAAACTACATAGTTATCTATGGATTATATCTATATATTTATGAATCTATCTATCTATCTATCTATCTATCTATCTATCTATCTATCTATCTATCTACATATATATCTATCTATCTATTTGCGTGAAATGTTGAATGAAAAGAGTGTATAATGAATGAAGACTGTATAGAGAACTGTTCCTGCTGACTTTACTTCAGGAAGCAATGTAAACTGTAAACATGTATACAGGGTGTACACGTAAACAGGTAAACTACTTATATACAGGGTGTACACATAAACAGGTAAACTACTTATATACAGGATGTACACATAAACAGGTAAACTACTTATATACAGGGTGTACACATAAACAGGTAAACTGTAAACATGTAAACAGGGTGTACACATAAATAGGTAAACTGTTTACATGTATATAGGGTGTACAAATAAACAGGTAAACTGTTAACATGCATACGAGGTGTACACATAAACAGGTAAACTGTTAACATGTATACAGGGTGTACACATAAACAGGTAAACTACTTATATACAGGGTGTACACATAAATAGGTAGACTACTAATATAAACTTTTATTTAATTTTACTGCATTTATATACATTTAATCAAATGATTTTTTCCATACTAATTACTATTTATTTCCAATAAAACAAAAAAAAACATTCATTAAAGGTACCACGACATCTGCTTAATTACTCTACCCTTTTCTCTTTGGGAAAATTGCTCTATATTTATTTTCTCTATGGGTCAATTGCTCTACCGAATTTCTCTACTGGTCAATTGCTCTATAGTTATTTTCTCTATGGTTCAATTGCTCTACAGTTATTTTGTCTATGGCTAAACATAGAACTTATAGCCCATCCTAGCAACAGTGCTTTTAAATATTTCATAGAGAAAATGGTTGGCACTGCCTTTATGGAGCAAATGCTAAGGTCTTTGAGATATATAGAGCAAATTTTCAGAGAGCATAATGTTAAAAGAACAAAAATGTCGTAGCGTGTCATTAACTTATTCCAAGTTATTCTCTGGAGGAAGAAATCCTGAAGAAATAACATCTTCTCTTTCAAGTCCTGAACTCTTCATCTTCTCCTTGGAGAAACTAAACTCATTCTCTGAATCCTCTCCCACCTCGGGATGCCTAAATATTTGTATTAATGCAGGGAACGCAAATTCCAAAACGTGTTTTAACCTGACACTCAGAGTCAGGCCAAATCACGAGTTGGAACTCTTTCTCCGTGTAATTTGGAATAAAAAAATAAATTTATAATTATTCTGCTTTCGAGTAAGTTTGCGACTTCAAGACTGCGCCATAAGAATGATATTTATCATAAGAATTATATTTAAAAGTTCTATTTTTTTCATTTTGCCCAAATCGTAAAAAATGTTAAAAACAAACATAATAAACACTTCTACCTGAAATCTACATGATGTAAACAAAATAAACACTTCTACCTGAAATCTACATGATGTAAACAAAATAAACACTTCTACCTGAAATCTACATGATGTAAACAAAATAAACACTCTACATGATGTAAACATAATAAACACTTCTACCTGAAATCTAAATGATGTCAACATAATAAACACTTCTACCTGAAATCTAAATGATGTAAACATAATAAACACTTATACCTGAAATCTACATGATGTAAACAAAATAAACACTCTACATGATGTAAACATAATAAACACTTCCACCTGAAATCTAAATGATGTCAACATAATAAACACTTCTACCTGAAATCTAAATGATGTAAACAAAATAAAAACTTCTACCTGAAATCTGCATGATGTAAACATAATAAACACTTATACCTGAAATCTACATGATATAAACATAATAAACATTCTACCTGAAATCTACATGATGTAAACATAATAAACATTCTACCTGAAATCTACATGATGTAAACATAATAAACACTTCTACCTGAAATCTAAATGATGTCAACATAATAAACACTTCTACCTGAAATCTAAATGATGTAAACATAATAAACACTTATACCTGAAATCTACATGATATAAACATAATAAACATTCTACCTGAAATCTACATGATGTAAACATAATAAACATTCTACCTGAAATCTACATGATGTAAACATAATAAACACTTCTACCTGAAATCTACAATGAGAATCAATCTATCTCCCTTGGAATCATTGACAACTTCGTGTTGGAAACTATCATCTATTATCGTCCATTGTCCTGGTTTCCATCCAACCGTCTGGTTTCCAATCTTCATGTACAGGTCCCCTGTACAGTATATAAACTGAATAGTATATAGGGTTAAAGGGACTGTAAGCGTAATGACAAGTGAACTTCTATTAAAAGAGGGACATCTCCGATACACAACAGTACTTTTTAAATCTTAGACTGATCGTCGAGGACATGTATACAGTACATTAGTGTACATGTATACATGAGTACATCAGTGTACATGTATATCTGTTAAATGGAAAATGCTGCATGCGTAAAAAAGCCGTAACTCAACACGTATGACCCAATACTTATTCTAGGAAAATCTGGATCATTCTTATTGAAACAAGGTGTTCAAAAATTCAAAAAGGAATATTAAAATTCTCTCACTTCTAGAAAGTAATTATTTATAATTCTTAACAGCTTGCAAACAAAGTGTTTAACGAAAACAACCGTTTCTGCAGATTTATAAGGAAAAGTCTGTCATCCAGGTTTATAAATAACTTTAATAACATGCTAAGGATAAAAGATCTTTAAATGATTAAAGATAAGAATACAATATCTACCTTTTGGAATAATAAGTCCTAGATGTGCTCTTAGTCTTGAATTAGTGGGTCCTGGAAATATCAAAATATTCAAAATCATAAAAATTAAAAACTCAAGAAAAAATGTAATATTTGAATAAAGCTGACCTGCGTGCGCGGGTATAACTGTTCCAGGTTTTACCAAGGAGAAACTTGCTTTACATTTAGGACAACCTCGGGCCTCGGAGAACTTTTGAATTAACCTGTACAATGGATAATTTAGTAATTATAATTAATACATTCATCAGATAAAAGAGAAAACTCGAGGTTTAAGTACAACAATAACCTGCAGCTTAAAAGAGCATGTTGACAAAGTCTGGTTTGTTCCTGAGATGTTGCAAGAGCAACTCCTTTAATAGCAACCTCACTCCACGCACCCCTGCAACCATATATAGTTTAATTTAATAGCAACCTCACTCCACGCACCCCTGCAACCATATATAGTTTAATTTAATAGCAACCTCACTCCACGCACCCCTGTAACCATATAGTTAAATTTAATAACAACCCACTCCACCCACACCTGCAACTATATATAGTTTAATTTAGTAATACCCACTCCACCCACCCCTGTAACCATATAAAGTTTAATTTATCAATACCAACTCCACCCACCCCTGCAACCATATAAAGTTTAATTTATTAATACCAACTCCACCCACCCGTGCAACCATATAAAGTTTAATTTATTAATACCTACTCCACTAACCTTAAACCTTTAATTCCCTGCCAACCTGGATCCATATACAACACTAACCTTGATCCTTTCATTCCCTGCCAACCTGGATCCATATACAACACTAACCTTGATCCTTTCATTCCTTGCCAATCTTGATCCATATACAACACTAACCTTGATCCTTTCATTCCCTGCCAATCTGGATCCATACACAACACAAACCTTGATCCTTTCATTCCCTGCCAACCTGGATCCACTGCCCAAATTCTTCGATTTATCTTCATCAGATCTAAAGCTTCATCACGTATCAATTTCCAGTTTTCTCTTAAAAATATAAAAATGAAGCAAATATCATTATTATCACGTAAATTATTTACACTTTTCTCTCCAAATTTTAAGAATTAAAATTAGAAAAATTTGCTTATTTCATTTCTGACATATATGGACAGTTTTTTTATTAATGTTTGGGAAACAAGATAATTTGTTTAACAAATATTTACCTAATAGTTGCCAGAGCTTTCCTGACACTTGCGTTGAGATCCTTCGTCTTCCAAACTGGTTTAGCGGTCAAACCCTGGATAGCGTTGATTGGTCGCTGATACCGGGATAGATATATTCCTAAATTTTCTTTGATCAGCGTCATATTCATTAATGATCAAAGACGATGTAGAATTCGTAACCAAATTCCCATGTTTATTGGGAAACCCTGTACTACAGAGTTACACCATTACATGCAAAAGATGAGACCTTAGAGGCAACTTTATGGAATTTACTCAGTCTTTTTTTTTTAAATGATCTGATCTGCCTTATTTATTCTATCTTCAAAATTGTAGGACATATTAAAATCCGTTCCAAATCCAGTTTGTAAAATAAACAACTTCAAGGTTTTATCAATTAAAAATAAACTATTTGGATTATATCAATTGAAGAGTCTATTGAAGGATTTGTTATCGCTTTCTCAATTATTTTTATATTTCTCATTTTGTTTGATCCATGGTAACTATCCTTACTCTACTCCTCAACCAGGTTTAAATATCCGATCTTCTCCGATCCATGGTACCTAACCTGACTCTACTCCTCAACTAGGGTTATATATCCGATCTTCTCCGATCCATGGTAACTAACCTGACTCTATTCCTCAACTAGGTTTATATATCCGATCTTCTCCTTTCCGTTACTAACCTGACTCTACTCCTCAACTAGGTTTATATATCCGATCTTCTCCGATCCATGGAAACCAACCTGACTCTACTCCTCAACTAGAAACTATTGTCTATGTATAACCTTGGCAGTTTTTTAATATATTAAGTAATAGTCGAAACAAGAATCATTTTACAGACTTGTTTTAAAGTATTCACACCTTGAATAAAGATAATTACATGAAAAGAAAATTTCCGAAGACGACCTTCCATCAAATCTCCCGGAAAGTTTACCAACATCAACTCCCTTTGAGGGTTTGAATTCAACAGTTACGCAAAATAATATACGCTCTACACTTTGGTACACCAATGTTGTTCACGAAAAAATTTTACATCCGTTTTAGTTCAGAGTTAAAACAAAATAATCCTGACCAGCTCTGAGTTTGTTAATATTCCGCAATACAACCATGGAAATTCTTAACTCTACCTAGAAACAGGACAACAGGGAGCCTTCAATCTTAAAGTTTATAGTAAAAAGTTTTCCACAGTTTCTAGGAAGAATATAAACATAGTCTTAGCCTAGACATAGAGGAAAATTTAGGAACTTAGCAAAAAAAATTGCAGTCATTTAATTTAAAATTAAATAAACTTAGTTTTTCTCAGGTAAACTCGGTTTGCTGTTATTTTCTCTGGGTAGATTTAAACATTGAAACTTGACTTGAGCACTAAGCAGTGATATACAGAAAACTCTAAAATAGGAAGACGACTTTATGGCAATGCTTAAGTGTATTTGATGTTATTACAAAGCAAACACTTTTACTAGAGACTTATTAAATGACTAATTAGGTTAAATGGGTCTGTAACACTGCACACTTGATGTGTCTCATGCTCTTTAACTATTTAAAGTCCTAACTCGAGTTTAAAAGTCGTCTTCCTATTTTAGAGTTTTCTGGTTATCACTATATATTATATATTACTCCAACCGTAAACGTCTTGTCGTGTAGGTTGGTGAACGACATTATAGAAGACAATCTAAAACGGTCGTCTTCAAGTCTTAATTTGATATGTGTTAAGATTTGTTTACCTCATCCTATCATCCCAGAACACGTGGGTTATTATATTTATTCCCGCTGTTTTGCCTTCATTCTTTGCAGAGGTTAAGTGTTTACAGTTCTGCTCCTGGTCTTCTTGTATCTTACAGACTTCTTCATCCCCTTCTTCTCCGGTCTCGGCTGATAACAGAGAAACCGCTCTTCACATATAACATACTTTAAATTTTTATTAGGATTAAGAAATTCATGATCACAGTAAACTTAAAAACGTAGGATTATGAAAACCTTACTAGGACAAGGGCACTTTAATTAGCAGTAGGAAACTTGCACTAGGATTAGGAAACTTGTACTAGGATCAAGAAACCTGTAATAGGATTAGGAAACCTGTAATAGGATTAGGAAACTTGTACTAGGATTAGGAAACCTGTAATAGGATTAGGAAACCTGTACTAGGATCAAGAAACTGTTAACAGGATTAGGAAACCTGTAATAGGATTAGGAAACTTGTACTAGGATCAAGAAACCTTTAATAGGATTAGGAAACTTGTACTAGGATTAGGAAACCTGTATTAGGATTAGGAAACTTGTACTAGGATCAAGAAACCTGTAATAGGATTAGTAAACTTGTACTAGGATCAAGAAACTTGTACTAGGATTAGGAAACCTGTAGTAGGAATAGGAAAATTGTACTTGGATCAAGAAACCTATATTAGAATCAAGAAACCTGTAATAGGATTAGGAAACCTGTACTAGGATCAGGAAACTTGTACTAGGATTAGGAAACCTGTACTAGGATCAGGAAACCTGTACTAGGATTAGGAAACCTGTTCTAGGATCAGTCCCATTTTCTCAGTTCTATATATCCTTGAGTAAATTACCTTTGCCAGCTTAGGATGCATGAACCTACAATTAAGAATCCAAATATATCTTCTCAGTTTAAAACAAAATTCAAAGAATTTCAAACGTAAGTCCTCGATATAAAATAAGAATAAAATGTTCATTTATGTTAATTTCCCTAATTAGAATAGATTTGATGACAAGGTTCGGAGAGGTTTCAGAACTGAGTTGAGTATTTGTATCTCCAAACCTACTCCAGAGCAGGCAGTCCTGGAACAGAAATATTTTCCCCTGGTTAAAGATGAAAAGGCAGAGTTTGTTCCTCTGGCTCTCTCCTCCGTCTTTATCTAATAAAAGAGAGTATTCAGAAGAGCAGAAAATATCCAACCTCACCAGGTTATTATCAATATAAATTCAATAAAACCAAATATTACAAGCTCTCTAGATTATTAAACATTTTAGAAAGAATAAAACATTTTCCAGGACAAGCTGACGATTTTTTGGGAGATTGCAAGAATATAGAAGATGGAAGATTTACCAAAGTTTACAAGAATATAGGAAGAAACATTGTAAGATTAGCTCCTAGATTACAAACATCTGGGAAAGTAATAATAATATTGGAAGATTACAAGAATCAAGAAAGATTACAAGAATCAAGAAAGATTACAAGAATCAAGAAAGATTGCAAGAATCAAGAAAGATTACAAGAATCAAGAAAGATTGCAAGAATCAAGAAAGATTACAAGAATCGAGAAAGATTACAAGAATCAAGAAAGATTAGAAGAATATATTGGAAAACTACAATCTAGGAAGGTAAGAAGAATATTGTATTGTAAGATTACAAGAAAATTACAATCTAGGAAGGTAAGAAGAATATTGTATTGAAAGATTACAAGAATATATTGGAAAATTACAATCTAGGAAGGTAAGAAGAATATTGTATTGTAAGATTACAAGAATATATTGGAAAATTACAATCTAGGAAGATAAGAAAGAATATTGTATTGTAAGATTACAAGAATATAATGGAAAATTACAATCTAGGAAGGTAAGAAAGAATATTGTATTGTGAGATTACAAGAATATATTGGAAAATTACAATCTAGGAAGGTAAGAAAGAATATTGTATTGTAAGATTACAAGAATATAATGGAAAATTACAATCTAGGAAGGTAAGAGAGAATATTGTATTGTAAGATTACAGGAACATATTGGAAAATTACAATCTAAGAAAGGTAAGAAAGAATAGTGTATTGTAAGATTACAAGAATATAATGGAAAATTACAATCTAGGAAGGTAAGAGAGAATATTGTATTGTAAGATTACAAGAATTTATGAATATTACGAAAAACAATCAAGAATTAGCTTGACCCAAGATTAATTTTAAGGTACACAGTTTAAATTCTGAATATCATTCCTGTAGATATCTGAAGTGCTAGTTTTAGGAAGACCAGAGCTCTCTTTAAGGNTGTTTTCCTGTAGTTCTGTTTTCCTGTAGTTCTGTTTTCCTGTAGTTCTGTTTTCCTGTAGTTCTGTTTTCCTGTAGTTCTGTTTTCCTGCAGTTCTATTTTCCTGTATTCCTGTATTCCTGTAGTTCTGTAGTCCTTTAATCCTGTAGTTCTGTAGTCCTGTAGTTCTGTAGTCCTTTAGTTCTGTAGTCCTGCAGTTCTAAAGGTTTTGAAGTTCTGTTGACCTGTAGTTCTGTAGTCTTGTGGTTATGTTCTCATGTGGTTATGTTGTCCTGTAGTTCTGTTGTCCTGTTGTTCTGTAGTCCTGCAGTTCTGTGGTTCTATAGTTCTGTGGTTCCGTAGTTCAGTTTTCCTGTAGTTCTGTTGTCCTATAGTTCTGCTGTCCTATAGTTCTGCTGTCCTATAGTTCTGGTTTCCTGTATTCCTGTATTCATGTAGCTCTGTAGTCCTGAAGTTCTGTGGTACTATAGTACTGTTGTCATGTAGTTCTGTACTCTTGTAGTTTTGTTGTCCTAAAGTTCTGTTGTCCTGTAGTTCTGTAGTCCAGTAGTTCTGTGGTTCTGTAGTTCTGTTGTCATGTAGTTCTATGGTTCTGTAGCTCTGTTGTCCTGTAGTTCTGTAGTCCTGTAGTTCTGTAGTCCTTTCGTTCTGTTGTCCTTTCGATCTGTTGTCCTGTAGTTCTGTAGGCCATTAGTTCTGTAGTGCAGTAGTTCTGTAGTCCAGTAGTTCTGTAGTCCTGTAGTTCTCTAGTCCAGTAGTTCTGTAGTCATGTAGTTATATATTCCTGTAGTTCTGTAGTCCAGTAGTTCTGTTGTCCTGTAGTTCTGTTTTCTAATAGTTATTTAGCCCTATATTTCTGTATTTTTCTAATTTTTTTTAAATTTTAAATTTTTCTAAACATTGATATTCAGTCCTGTTGTCTTGTAGTCCTATAGCTATGAAGTTCTGTAGTTCTATATCAGTGTAGTCATATTTCTTGTTCTGTAGTTCTGTACTCCTGTTGTTCATTTGGTCTGTAGTCCTTTTGTTCATTTGGTCTATAGTCCTGTTTATATTAAAGTCTGTATTAATGTTGTCGTATAGTCGTGTACAGCTGTGATCCATATAGTCCATCAATCAATCTAGAAAATACCTTATTTTGAAAGTCAAGTATTTGATTCAAAACATCTCCGTTTGTTCTAAATAAATTTGTCTCTATATCTTGGAGAGTTTTGGATTTTGGCTCTTTTAACCCTGGATCTATTGTAAAGGTTTCGGTGCAACCCAGCTCCAGATCACAAGAAGTCTCTTCATCCTGCTCTCCTAATCCTTGGTTAACCTATAGAAATTACGTATATATATGTATTATAAACATCAATATAAGAATGATGGAAATTTGTTTTAAAATCATGTTTTTTGGTTAACTATGCAAAGATGACTTGAAACCTGTTTTTAACTTTAAAGTTAATAAAATGATAAAAAGTGTATCAATACAAGTTTTTTATATTCTCTACGTTTTTAAATAGATGTGTTAAAACCTGGACCAACTTCTTCATATCTCCGACAATATTTTAGGTACAGAAAAGGCAAACTACAGTTTTAAAATCCCAAATACTAGCATAATTATGGATACAAAATATGTTACGTAAATCTAAGACGAATTAAAAACCATCCAATAATTTCCATGTTCATTGGGGGGAGACGATTTAGAAGATTTTTAGAGAAGATTTAAGTTTTCAGTTTCCTTTCTCTTTGACATTAAAACAAAAATCTATTTGAACAATTTTAAAGAGTATCCAGGTGTTCTCTTGGAACCTAATTACCTTGTGTGTCAAGATAAAGAAAACTATGTTTAAACTCTTCATTCTCAAACTTCTTCAATTCTTCTCAAGAATTTAATTCACTTTATCTCATGTAAATCCGTTCACTAATCCATTCACTAATCCATTTTTATTTTTTCTAAATAGACAAATTCATAAGATTTTCAAATTAGATAAAACCTTAAACAGGTTATATAAAAAATAGTTCTTGGGTAGACAAATCTATACAAAAGCATTCTATTAATAAGTAATAAGATCCACCAATCTTTTTGATCCACTCCATATCTTTGATTGACTACTGTATAAGAAGGGATTGACTGTAACGCAGAGGGCTAATAAATAATGTACTCGGAGTAAGAACGTATCTGGAGTAAGGACGGATTGAAGCGTGATATTTACCTGTTCCAAGATATTCTGACCAATAAAGGAGGTTTACATCAACCATCGTCACACATTCAGATTTCGAGAGCAAGCAATTGATCTCGATCTTATTAATCTACAGATAAAAGCTGAGACCGCAGGTTGTCAAATTTTGCCCTGAAGGATCTCCCTGAGGACTAGAGAGTGACCGGTAATTTATGGTAGTTGAACTGAGAATGTAGAATTGTGGAAAAAAATTTTAGGATTCATTTGAGACATATTAAACGTTTTGTTGGTTTGTAATTATACTGAGTTTGAGCGCAAAGTCGACGTTTAAAATCATCCATTTGGGTGGTAACGTTTTGAGAATCGATTTTTAAAAAATTATTGTATAACGACGACAAAAAATTTTTTTTTTAAAATCTACAGTAAACTAATTAGATGGTTAGGAACATATTTCTTTATTGAAATTTTCTCAATAAGTCAATGTTAGGATCAATTATATTGAATTTCTTATTTTTTATGAATCTGTTTGCATATTTCTACAAATTCTTCAAATGTCGTCTTTATAATAAATATTCCAGGAAATCTACAGAAAATGTTTGTGTACAAAGAAACATCACAGAAACCAATAACTGAAGAAGATTACTTATTTTTATTTTCTTAACCTGTTCCTAAACAACTAATTAGTTTACTGTAGCATTTTTACTACATTTTTCCAAAGTCGTTATTGAGTAATTTTTATAAATACGACTCTCAAAATCATCTCTCAAAAATGAACAATCAATGAGGATTTCAAATATTGAATTTGCTCTCTTGCTGAACAAATATGTACCGTAAAAATCATAAGAAATAACTTTGAGGCTTAGTTGTGATTATAATTTTTAAAAATCGTATACTTTAAAAATATGTGTATTTCCAATAGGGATTCTAAAAATTTACATGTTCCGTATCTTTAACTGAGTTAACATGTTCCAGGAACATCTGGGATTATAAAGAGAACTTAGACACAAAAATAAAATAAAAAACAACTAAAACAAAGAAAGTCTTTGGCACAAACTTTAATTTTCTAATCCCTACATCTTTGCAATCTAATGTCGTAGACCTTCGATATTTTAGCCTATGAATTCTGTCAGATAAATTAATCTAAGTTGGAAATATCATAAGTTTGCACCATCCGGTTGCAAAGATATAGGGATCAGAAATTTTGAGTTGGTGGCAATGACTCAATTCCTTTAATTTTGAAAACATTTTTCGTCTGCGTATAAAAATGACTCGAAATGATATAAGTTGTCTAAATTAATTTTTATTTATTCTTGTTTTACTCTGCGCTTTGAATTTTGCAACGATATAATTTCTACAAAAAAATATGCTTGCACAATTTTGCAAACTAAAATTGCACAGTTTTTGCAATAATTAAAAGGACTGTGTACAATTACATACTTCTAAAATGTAAAAAGCTCTTAATCTTCTCAGACTAATGAAATTTGCAAAACATTGTTAATCAGTCTATTTAGAAATATTTGTCATAAGTTCTTTTCTCTTTTGTTTTATAGAACTACATAGATGAAATTGTATAGAACTACTAAGGTTATAGATGAACTGTATAGAACTACTAAGGTTAAAGATGAACTGTATTGAACTACTAAGGTTATAGATGAACTGTATAGAACTACTATATAGATGTATAGAACTACTAAGGTTAAAGATGAACTGTATAGAACTACTAAGGTTACAGATGAATTGTATAGAACTACTAAGGTTATAAATGAACTGTATAGAACTAGGTTATAGATGTATAGAACTACTAAGGTTATAGATGAATTGTATAGAACTACTATATAGATGTATAGAACTACTAAGGTTATAGATGTATAGAACTACTAAGGTTATAGATGTATAGAACTACTAAGGTTATAGATGTATAGAACTACATAGATGAAATTGTATAGAACTACTAAGGTTATAAATGAACTGTATAGAACTAGGTTATAGATGTATAGAACTACTAAGGTTAAAGATGAACTGTATTGAACTACTAAGGTTATAGATGAACTGTATAGAACTACTATATAGATGTATAGAACTACTAAGGTTATAGATGAATTGTATAGAACTACTATATAGATGTATAGAACTACTAAGGTTATAGATGTATAGAACTACTAAGGTTATAGATGTATAGAACTACATAGATGAAATTGTATAGAACTACTAAGGTTATAAATGAACTGTATAGAACTAGGTTATAGATGTATAGAACTACTAAGGTTAAAGATGAACTGTATTGAACTACTAAGGTTAAAGATGAACTGTATTGAACTACTAAGGTTATAGATGAACTGTATAGAACTAGGTTATAGATGTATAGAACTACTAAGGTTATAGATGAATTGTATAGAACTACTCATACTGAAGAACGTAGCGTCCATACAAATTCAGAAAGTTGCAATATTCAACTCGGATCGTAAAAAAATCTATTTATTTCCAAACAAATCATTCAGATATTACAACCTTTCCTATATTCATCGATTTTTCTTCGACGCATTCCGATATAGTTGATATTTCATAAAAATTCTTACATATATGATGCAATTTAAACGACGATTAGTTGGCCGCCAGGTGTCTCTGCTCTCTCTTAACGGACAAAAATTCGTCGTGTTAAGTGAATTGTTTCTCTGTAATGTATTTGTACAACATATATTTTTATATCTTCTTTGTCTATAACAAGTATGTATACATTTGTGATTTCTCTTTGTATCAACGCCAATACAGCTGAATCGATTGGTCCCAATTTTTTTGTGGTATCTCATATTTTAATAGGAATGGTTTATGACAGATCGAAAAAAAAACAGGAAGAAAAATGTGAATATAAATTCTTTTTAGTATTCTATATATCTTCTATATCTTCTACATAATTTCTAATATATTTGATGTGGTGAGGTGAGGGTATAATAAATGTAAAGATGAGAATATTCTAGAAGTATTTGGCTCGAATCCTGCTAACTCAGCAATCATAATTCTCAAGTATGTATAGTCTTTACAAAAACTTGTACATTAAAAAGGTTCAATGACATTGTAAGCAGGAAAACATTTCTCTTTTTATAACTATGTTTTAACCAACATGACGCACAGTCCCTTGTATACGCAGAACATACGATCTCCTCATTGCGTCTTGTCCAGCGTTAGTCAGCTTTCATCCTGGATTAATAAACGACCTGGAGAAAATGTCAGTTTGGATTCCACGAGATTTATCTGAAATTAAACCCAGTAGTTTCTCTAAATCTTCAAGATTTCCAAAGAGAGAGAAAAGTGAAGCAGAAGTTGATCCTTACTACAGGTATACCAGACTACAGGTATACCAGACTACAGGTATACCAGACTACAGGTATACCAGACTACAGGTATACCAGACTACAGGTATACCAGACTACAGGTATACCAGACTACAGGTATACCAGACTACAGGTATACCAGACTA